TATATATTTTATGGACGGGCATTTGGCTCAGTTGTTCTGTCTACTGCCTCGGAAACATAAGGGACCAAGTTCAATACCTGGTACCAATAAATAAATTAATTAAATATTTTAAAATGTTTTAAGTTGTGTCATACACCTGTACCACCCCATGATGAATGAGTCAGTATGTACCACAAACATTCCTAATAAAATTTTTAACAATAAACTCTTTTAAAAATAAGATACACTGATTTTTTTCAGAATATTAACTACTGCTACTCTTAAAATAATGTATGTTTCTTTTATCCTGGATCACAATACTTTTGGAGATATCTGTAGAATTATAGGATAAAAATAGAAACATACTTCTCAATTTTCAGAGGTTTTATTTCTCCCTCATACAAATGATACTATAGAAAAACTTTTTTAAAATGTTTAACATATTAGGAAGAATATGTAATTGCAGAGGAATACAACCCTTGAATGTACGTAATTTAAGTCATATATCCCCGACTTGTATGTGTGAGTGGCACTAGGGACCAAGCCCAGGGCCTTGCACATGCTGAAGACACTACCAATGAGCTACACCCTCAGTCCTCTAAAACTTTTAATGCAATAAAATGACCAATATCCCTTCAGCAAGCAATTTTTCTGAATTCTGCATATGCAATTCTATATAGTCATCACAAAGCTTGCTCTGGAATTCTGATCATAAAATTTAAACTGAAATTTTCTTTGCATAGAAAATGTATAAGTAATTCCTAGATTTATATTTCAATGTTTTACTAGAGTCAGCCACAAGTCAGTATTTTCCAAATTACACTTAATAGCATATTTTAATGCTGAAATGATCTTTCACTAGCCTCTTGATATTTAAAAATAATGAAAGTTTACATATACATAATTAAATATCATAAATGCTTACAGATGCATACAATACAAAGTTAAAACCTTCATAACCCTCCACCACTGAGCCCCTCTCCACAAAGAAGCCACTATTTTATTTTATTTTTTGTTTTTTTGAGACAGAGCTCACTATGTAATCCAGGCTGGCCTTGAATTCATGGTGATCCTCTTGCCCCATGCACCCATGTGCTGGGATAGCAGGCCAGTATCACCATGCTCAGAAGAAGCCACTCTTAATAGTTATTGTCTGTAAGTCCATAAGTGGTTTGCATGCATTTAACTGTGTGTGTATATATTATGTATAATATATATGGTACAATGTGTATTATATTTATATATAACTGTATATATTATGTATTATATGTATAATATAAAACAACTGATCATATAATAGTCACTCTTCTTCACCATGATTTTGACATAGTCGTGATCTTAAAAATTTTTATTCAAATGGACACATACACATCTCTATGATTGCAGTATACACTTTAATATATAATACACTGAACAAGTGTCTCAATTGCTGCAATTTGTGATTATTTTTTGTCAGGAAGAAAGATATAACCACAATATACACATATCTTTTAATATTTTATTATATTACTTAAAACAGTAAATATTACAAGATTTCATTTAATAAGTTTTAAGTTCCATTTTCACTAACAAGATAAGAGAGGTTTTCATTCCTCTCCAGACCCAAAAATATTAACCTTTAAAACTATTGTTTAACATTAAGCAATGACATTACAGAAACAAATAATATTGGTAGAAATTGACAGCCTCAGTATAATAAAAATACTATTAAAATGAGTATACCAGGTTGTTTCAAATTATATATTTAATGAATTTATTATTATTATTTTCTCTAGTACAGTACTGTACATTGAAAAAAATCACTTGGGATTGCTTTGAAGTGAAAGGTTTTCCTCCCATTATGAATTATGTATTTTCTACATCTCCCTTAAATCACTATGGAATTATAGAAGATTTCAAATATTGAATTTTCCAGAAAATTGAGTATTTGTCTCATGAGATAAAAGAAATATAGTCACCAAGGAAAGTTTCTTGAATCTTTTGTGGGGGTACTAGGGATCGAACTCAGGACTTTGTTGTGAGAAAGTTGAATGAATTTATAAGTAATACATTTTATCACAATATAGGATGTGGTAACATGAAGCTGATATAGCATTGATTTTAGTAAATAATCTTATTGTACATATGCAGTTTTTCACCAGCATATTCAATGGAGAAAGAAGAGTCAAGTAGAGAGAAGAGCTATTTGAAGAAAAGGAACAAAGAAAGGTGGATGGGTGAGTGAAAGGGAAGGAGTGGAAGACAATGCCATGGAATGGCATATTTTCCTTTCCGTGCAGGATACTTTATATGTACCGAAACGAGGCCGGGGGTGGCACCACTGAGGTAAATCCCTAGCCCTAAATGTGTTTCTGGCCGAGAAGATTCACACGGAATCATCCCAGTGCCTAACACTTTCTTTGGAGTTTTAGTTCAACTTTGAAAAATCTGATCCTAGAGTGGCCTGTGTTCACATATGGGGGTTTGTCGGGTGCAAGGCAGCAGAAAATAGAATGCTGAGATGAGAATGGTTGCTACCAGAATATGCTTTACATAGTTCGGCTTCAAAGAATTCCCATCCAATGTGAACACATGAAATTAAAAATTTAATCACTATGAGCTCTGTTTTATGCTCTATATCACACAGAGAGAAACTGAAATACATGCTACATAGAGTAAATATTACACAGTGATTATTGAGTAAAAAGCTGACAAGCAGCAAAATAGCAGAGCACATTTGATCCCTTCAACCTCTCCTTATTCCACAGATATATGTGTTAAATTGAGGATAGCTGGGCTGGATGCTTTTCCACTGAGAGTGCCCCTGCCCTCTGAAAACTGAACCGATACATGAAAACCAGGAGATATGGAGAACCTGTGCAATCAGGGAACAATGGCAACTCTCTCGTCAAGAATAAATACGGTGAGGATTGGAGCTAGGTGCTGGGGAAGGAAAGATCCTTAATTTAAGCCCCTGGCTCTTCCACTAGACTAACCCAAACCATGTGAACCATATCTTGATTAATTCTCATAAGCAGGTGTGAGAATGAGCCTTTACAGTCATCTGCATATCCCTCTCTTAGTTTGAATATTCCTACTCTGAATGATGATCCTTAAAGTATAAATTGTACTCCCATTCATTAGTATAAACTTGCCTGTTGCATTTGGACCTTGTACAAGTACAATCCAACGTTTTTGCTTGGCATTTACTTCATCAAATTTTTATTTAATATTTTGAAATTTGAATTGTGATATTTATAACATTGAGCAAGTTACTGAACTTCAGTAAGCATAGGTTTGCTCAATGTTAAATTGAAAGTAACAATACCTACATTATAATACTGTTTATTTATTGATTGATTGATCCTTTTCTTTATTAGTACATGTTTGTAGACATGCTGTTTACATAGCTTGTGGGGGTCTATTCATGTACACAATACAATCTTAATTCCTTTTTCATCCTTTAGATTTAAATTGAGCACACTGGTGAGTCACAGTCTTTTCTAACACTTGTTGAACAGTGTCTGGGTTTGTGTAGAAGTAGGAGCTTCTTCTTTCATTCTTTGTTTATAAGGAATTGGAGTGGGGTTGGACAAAACTTATGAATCAATCAGTTGTTACAGAACGACATTCCAATGAGCTGTGTAAAAGAACTGGAAACAGATTGAAGTTCCTTGGTTCATGAAGCCCTATAAATGATTGAAGTCAAGAATTTCGTTATTATGAAATTTAGTTCATGATAGTTTTATTGACCTGTAGCTGCCCCTGATTATGTTACTTATTGTGTTCTCCTTAGATCTTGAAAGAGAAATATAAAACATGGACATTTGTAAAAATGCCATGAAATACAATAGACAGTTTTAAAAAGAAAGCGTTTGTGTGTGTATACATGTATAAGTATGGGTACAAATACACATTTTTGTATTGATGTATATATATTTGTCTGCACAGTGAGTATGTGGGAATGCAAGATAAAAGAAATGGTGGTTAAACATATTTATGCTAGTGGGGATTGTGTGGTGAGCAGGAGTGTGCACTAACTGGAGGTTAAGACAGTACTAGTTGCCAACTAGATTTTTGATATATTGTATATACGTCACACATCAAACATGTCAATTCATACCCACCAATTGCCACTCCCTGTACCTGCACAAGTCTGAGGAGCGCGACTTTGTTTCTCCTTTCCTGATGATTGTGATGTTCGATCCGGTTGCCTCCTCCTCGATCCGAGATCCACTCCAGGCAGGCGTCCGATGTCTCCACCGAGGTCTCCTCTGAGCTCTTGTCTGGCAGGTTGCCATAGAGCTGTATGGGTCACCGAGTGGGACAAGCTAGTCTTCTGCACTCTCTCTCTTTTATATCATTCTAACTGGGGGTCTGTGGCACTGGTTTGGGTTTTATCACTTCACACATATTGGGGCTGTTTGAGTAGCTATTGGTGTTGCACACATCATCGGGCTTCACACGTTGAATTTAGATAACATGGTTACAGCCATCATAGGGTGATCCTGTTGGGTTAGATATCACTGTTACTCTTGGGGGATCACATATCAGGTTTCCCACATTGTCATTCTTGGTGGGTGTCACTCTCCACTCTTGGGAACACACTGATATTGTACTCTGTTTGGGAGGCATTGTGTGCTCTGCATCCTATACACTGACCTGTGCTGTCTACAAATTGGCAGGATTGTCTTCACAGGATTTTTTCAGTGCAAAGGAATGTCATGATAATATTCCTCTTTTCACAAAGATACGTTGGATAGGCCTAAGCTTTTCTTTAAAAGGCAATGTTATATAGTAGACAAGGACAGAGTGTCTGGACGCAGGATGCATGGGTTCGGAATGTACTATTGTTTATTCCTTTAAATGCTTTCTGTATTTATAAAGTGGGGACAATAATACCTGTGTCTTGTAGAGGCTTTGTGAGCATTAAATTATATATGTAAAGTTCTTAGGAATGTACCAGCTACATAACCAAAACTACAGAAGTATTCAAAATCGACTAGTGGTGGGACTGTGTCTGAAAGGCCTATTCTATATTGAGAATGCATTGGGGGAGCCTGGTGTGGTGGCACACACCTGTAATCCCATCACTAGGGAGTCTGAGGCAGGAGGATTGCTGTGAGTTCGAGACCAGCTTGGGCTACATAGTGAGTTCCAGGTCAGTCTCAACTATGCAGTGTGACCTTGTCTCAAAAAAAAAAAAAAAAAAAAAAAAAAAAAAAGGAAAGACAATGTACTGTGTTTTGTAGAAAGTCTTAGGGCATTCTTTTTTGGCTTTTTCTTATTGTTTTTCTTTTCTGTCATTGAGTTTACTGGTACTTTTTAACTATACAGTACAGTAACATTTATCATTCATACCTTGTACCTTTACATGACACATCTTGGTTCTCATTTTTACCCATATCCCTGCCCTCCCTTCACCCTCTCCACCCTCCCCTATTTGCAAAGACTTTGTTTCCATTTTTTCCTCTTCTCATATCCTTTCTTTCCCTGTATTTCCTTTCCTACTTCCCTTACTCCTTTAGCCCTTTTCTTCCCATTTCACATTGTCAATTATACAGTTTGAATCTTATTTACACTTTTAGTTTTTCACACCAGAGAAACTATTCAGCATTTACATGTATGTGACTTATTTATTTCACTTTAAGAGTATGGCCTCAATATACATCAATTTTTCTATGAATGACTCTAGTTTTTCATTCTTTATGGCTCAGTACTATTCCATTTTATAGAAAAACCACATCTTTATCCACTCTCCAACTAATAGGCAAATGGGCTGTTTCCAAGTTTTAGCTATTACAAACTGTGCCACTATAAATATGGGTTAAAAGAATAGCTGGGTCAAATGGAACCTCTAGTCCTAGTCCCAGCTCTTTCAGGTATCTCCATAATGATTTCCATAGTAGTTTCACCAGTCTGCACTCCCACCAACAATGAAGAAGGGTTCCTTTCTCCCACAGCTCTGCCAGCATTTGTTACTGGTTGATTTCTTGATAGCAGCCATTCTTTGTGGGGTGAGGTGAAATTTCAGTGTTGTTTTCACCTCCATCTCTCGAATGACCAGTGATGTGGAACATTTTTTCATATATTTACTTGCTGCTTTTACTCCTTTGAGAAATGTCTGTTCACTTCAGATGCCAATTTTTTATTTGAATTGGGTCTTTATATTTGGGGGGGTTGATTATTTTGAGTTCTTTATATATTCTAGATAACAGTCCTTTGACTGAAGAGCATCTGGTAAACAATTTTTCCCACATTGTAGGTTGTCTCTTAGTACTATTAAAAAAAAAAAAAGTCATGCTAAGTGTCCACTGAAGTACCTCTTTCTTTTTTAAGTAAGAAGAGAAAAATAATTTTCTAATTTGGCTATGTGGGATAGAAGAGATAATTTAATACTAAAATATCTTGATAAAAAATTACACACAATATGTTGAATTGACATCTCTTCGCTATTACTTTCTAGTTTCTATTTCTCCTGAAACAACATCTTCTATTTTCAGAAAACAATATGGAGTGTTTAAAATGTGTAAATCTTATGATGGAAAGTTGCTTGAGAATCATAACACCCATCTTAGAGAATATGTGTAATGAACAGTGTAAAGTGCACTTTCAAAATAAATGGAAATACCTCAGATAGCCAAATAAATGCAAAGCAATTAATTATTGTTGAAAAAATATAGAGTAAATATAAAGTAAAGCTATATAGAGAAAGATGCACTTATTGCACATATTAAGTATTTAGTGACAGAAACTTCAGGGTTCTTTTTTCCATGGCTTATAATACCGGAATTAGCTTGTTTAATAAACTATTTAAAGTAGATGCCAAGATCATGGAAAAAAACTTCTGATATCCTTCTTTTACATTCTAAAAACTATTAACTATTTAATTTTTAATCACCTGAAAAATTTTTAATTCCTTTGCCCATATTTCTTGGTAATTTTTAAAATAGTAAGCTTATAGACAAGTTTATACCTGATCCAGCCCATTTCAACTCCTGAATATGTATTCTAAGGAGAATGTAATGTGTCCTTGTTATTAGTTTTAGGGAAACATAACATTGAATTCCACTTTAGGTAGTCTGTAAAGGGCTTTTATTTTAAAAATAGTGATCCAAGAATGGTGTTTGACCTGCGGCATATCTGAAATGAAATAATGGTGACGTGCGTCAAAATGGACTATTCTGTTACCTAAAATGTTTCCCCAAATTTCCCACTGGTAAAAAGTGATATTTTGTTCTGAAAAGTAGGTCCACTCTGGTGGGAAAAGGCAGAGTCATAAGATCATCACTTCTGTATTTCATAAGATCTTAAAGTACCAAAAACAAAGCCACATTTTTTTCCATTTGAGAACTAAAGTTAAAATGTCTTCAAAAACAAAAATAAGGTAAAAACATTATTGTTTTTACAATTTGGGGTGAGAACTAAAAAATCTTGATGATTAGACGGGGCAAACAAAATAATAGTTCACTTTTATAATATCTGTCTCTTTGTGACAAAATGATCATGCTGTGTGTCACCTTAAGATATCCGTGGGCATGAAAGCAAGTTCTGAACTTCTGAGCTGCTCTTAGACAATCTGTCAGTCTTGGGCCAGTTAGCAAGCCTCAATTTCTCCATCTGTACATCACAGATTTGAAATAATAATTAAAATATGGTAATAAAAAAACATGACTTTTATGTAGAAGAGCTTCAATAAAGGTTAACACTGTAAAAGATACTGTTTGCCCTGAGTCACACAGAAGATAAATTAAAAAACAGATGATTGTGATTCTCTGTCCCAGTTCAAAACAGTGGTTCCTAAAAGATATTCATGAAGTTTAGAGATGAGAATTTATCTGTTCAAAAAGCTGTTGTTTCTCCTATTCCTTTTCCACTTCTCTCACATAAAGAAAAAATATTCTCCAAATGCAAATAACATAATGCAAAAAGGTCAACCCTTTGAATAAAACACTTACTATGTCTCTGTTAGTCTCCCATACTCTCTATGGTCTATCTCTTCCTCATCTATAAAGTGAGTTAAGAGCTTAGCACATGACTTGTATGCTCTACATTCTCAATAAATGATATGTTTTCTCCAATATCATTTGGTTAATTATGGAATTGGAGATTTTTGACTCACAGAAAATAATAAAAATAAAAATACTAATTAGGTAAATATGAATTAGTAAGTTAGCAGAAAATTAATATTACAATAAAATCCTACACCATCCCATAATATCTCCAAATACCAAAGCTGTGTACTTTATGTGTTATAGTGACTTTTTCAAGTTTGATTTCTAGCTGTCAGTCAAAATACTAACTTTAATTTCATAGTAACTGTCACTGAAATTTAAGATGAGCTTCATTAAATTTTATTGAAAAGCATCCTTCGTTGTACAGGTGCCATTCAAAACTAATGAATAATGGGGGTTTTTCATGTTAATCATAAAATATAGAAATCTATCCAGTACAATTTAGACATAAACATCTATCTTCCAAGGTGATGTGATTATCTACCTTACATTGTAATTGTTTTTCTGTGAAAAAAATTACAGTTTAACCCATACAACATCTATATCCTGTGCCTTGAGCTTATTCACAAGGTATGTGTCTGCCACCAAAATAACATGCCAAAACTAAAACAGATGCCATTACTTATAAGATGAGGCTTTGAGTTTTGCAAAAGTGAAACACCAATCTAATTCAAAAGAATCCTAAACCCCTCTCCCCTAAATAAGTTTTCTGCCAAGAGGAATACAATGCTTTCAGAAAATAATCACCTCAAGGAAATCCTAGGGGAATAAGTTTAATACATTGTTTCATAGCCTCTGTGCACTGCCTCAGCATAAGATAGCAAGAAAATTAAAAGATTGGTATTGTGTATGGAAGACACCGTCTTTCTTTCAATACTTTTAAATGAACCTACCTCATTTTTATTCATGGAAGGAAAACACCTACACACTTCTATGAAGCCAAAGTCAATGGAAATATCCACATATCCAAACTAAGGATTTTTGTCAGAGGGAAGAAATGTCAGAGGAAAAATTCTTAACATGGAACAACTTCATATTCTTTTTAATTTGACAGTGTTTCCTTTGCTAAAGTAAGTGGAATGACAGTCTCCAAACTCATAAGTAAAAAACATTACATTTTATTCTGAACCTGCTTAACTATTCAGAAAGTAGGAAATCTAGAGATTTTCATATATCAAGTGGGAGACATTTCTTTTTATTTATAACTGAATAAATAACTAAATAATAATAAGCACAGCTAGAATACCATTTTCAAATGCAAGGAAGACAAGGTTCAGCACAATAACAGCAAGTATGTGGAAAAAGTAGTATATTTTATATTGTTTGTCAGTACCGATATAGGTGCTTGGAGAAACTTTTTTTTTTAACTGCAGATTGACACTTCACACTGAGATGCATCTCCAGCTCATTATGTATTTGCTTATTTATTTACTTTTGAGATGAATTTTCACAAAGTTGCTAAATTGCCCAATGTATGCTTGGAATTTTCACTAATTTTGTTTATATTAGGTAGTTTTCACTCAATATCAATTCATTTTTCAATTTAATTATATATATATATATGTGTGTGCTTTTGTGTGCATGTGTGTGTGTGTCTGTTCCTATGTAATAAGTTTGAAACTTTATTTGGTATAACTTCACATTTTTGGTATTCAAAAATAATTTTATTTTAACACAGCACAGTAAATAAGCAATCTGTATTACTCCTTAGAGTGTATAACATATAAATTATTCACATTTAAAAATTAAGAATGGAAAGCCTCATATGCAGGAACTATTTAAAATGTATACCTAATTTTAATCTGTTTTTGATGGTATGTACTACCAGCTTTATACATCTGGATGAACAGACATGATACACATCAGCTCCAGATGCTTCCTTAACACACATGGTGAGTAAGTAGCTCACTCTTCACTTTGGTCATAGAGATCCCATGTGCTGAGACAAAGAGCAGATCCTGAACTTTACCTTCTATAATGTTGGGGTTACAGGACTGTGCCATCAGGCCTGGCTTGGAGGACATTTTTTTGAGATATCTATTAAATTAGTAATAAAAAATTTTCAGACTCTTTCCTAGGAATTTATTATATGAATACATGTATTCATGTCTAGTTTATATTGGGCTTATATTCACTTGATTATAAGTTCCTATATTAAACATAAGGCCATGAAAGCCAGATTTTGCTTTGTTTAATGTGTTATAGTTCCAATCCCCAGTTTTGAAAAGAAAGATCCAGTGACTTTTAACAGGCAGTCAATAGGTGTTTGCTGCAAATCCAGCAGGGAACCTGCAATCAATGTCCTCAATTGTAAAGATTTCTCAAATGCACTCTGGTATTCTTCAAAATAATTTTTTCAGTGTATACCCTGGACTGTGAAAGCATTAAGAACTTAAAATAATTTGTAGTACTAGAACTACAGAAACAACACTCAAGTAACAAAATCAGCCTTATGTGAAAATGGTAGGAAGTATGTTCATTGTATAGATCTAAATTATGATATTTTGACTAGGAACATGAATAGTTCTACGGCTGTTTTGTGTCTTAAACTTAACTAAGCCCTTTGCTCTTGAGTTTTCATATTTTTATCTGTAAAATTTGCAGGATGTGGGCTGGGAATTCTCTGTTTCCATCAAGCTTCAAAATAGTCCATTCTATGACTTTATATATTACAATGTCAGCAATCTTGCCATCAATGATGAGGTTCCCCTTCAGAGGCTAGATGACAGAAACTAACCTAACAAAAAATATTTATAATTTTTTCCTCTCTTCTTCTGTCATGTAAATACTTCCAAAAATAATTTTTTTTTAAAAAAATGGCATGGGTAATTCTCTAAATGCAGTTTTTCTTCCCTTTCTTCCTTATTTCTCATCACTCACATTTTCATAGTTTTCCGTGTCCAGTTCCGAACCCAATCAACAAAGAGTAAAAATATTTCCTCTGCATGAATTACCCATATACAACTTGTTAATTGAACAAGGAAACAAATATGTACATAATGCTGTGCTACTTATTGTTCTAAAAAAAGACAATGTAAAAAGAAAGTTTCAAAAATGTGTAACATTTGATCCATAAGTCCATCAACCTAAAGTATTACATTTAATGATTCTGAAATTAATTCAGACTTAGAGAAGAGTTGCATCAGTATTTCAGAGAATTTCTGTGCACCCTTCACCTATTATCCTAAAATAACCACTTTACCATATTGTCATCTGTCTATGTCTGCGTGTCTCCATAGATATCAAGAGCTGCTCACTGAAGCATCATTTAAAAAGGAGAAAACCAGAAAAAAACCTAAATGATCAGCATCAAGAAAGTAGCTCCTTAAATTATAACACTAGCACTGTATTAAATATTGTAAAGTTTAGGGCAAATCCTTATTAGATATTGCTAACTCACAGCAAGTCGTTAAAATTTTTAAGAGTTTATTTTAACTCTAACAGCATAGTCCTTGTTAATATGGACAAATAAAAATGAAGAATGAGAAAGATGGTGATGCTAGATTTATATGAAAAAGGACAGGTAAAGAATATGCAAAAATAAATACCATTACATGAGTTATGGGTGAATTTTCTGTTTTCTAAATAATATAAATCTTTACGGCTATTTTTCAAACCTTTACTGGTAGCTACTTGGAGGTAAATGGGGGAAGTTTTAGAATTCAGAAATCAACTGTAAGATTATATAATAGAACCCATGAATTGGACCACATACTGTAAACTTTTCTGGTTCTTGGGAGAAAGGAAAAAAAAAGATCATTTTTTGTTAAGGAAAAATAAATAAGACTGAAAATAGAAAATAGATTATTTTGATTAAGATATGTGAAGGAATCAAGTCCATTTAGGTTTATGATAAATATTTAACAAACATAATGCTGAACTCTGTTTAATTATAAATTTTTAATGTACTACATGATACAATTAGATTGTTGCTAACTTAAATTTTCACCAAGATATTCTATTTTCTAGGTATAGCTAATAGTTAAGTACAGTCAGCCTTTCTGACTGAACACAGACTTATAAACCAATGAAAGTGATATTTTAAGGAGTTAGAATGTATGATAAAATCCCAAAGAAGAAAAAGATGACAACCCCTTAGCATATATATATATGACTTTTAAAAGTTTAAATGTCACATGGTTTCTCTTATGTGAGAAACCCAAAATATAAATAAATTAAAATAAAAGATAAATAATAGGAAACAGGAAGATAAATATTTTGCAAATGAAAAAGGGACCAAGAAATGGAGAGAGGGAACAAGGAGGGCAAGGGAAGAGGATTTAAGAAGAATTAAGATGTTCTATTTATATGTAGCAAGCCTCACAATGAATATAATCATTATATACTGCAAACATGTATGAATAAAAAAATAAATTTCTTTACATATTCAACACAAGGAAAAACATTTCTAAAAACAAAATGTAAAAGACCCACTGAATTCAACTACGAGGTATGACAGAATTGTAAAGAGCTCTCATTTATCAAATAATTTTAGATAGTAAAATTGAATCTTGCTTTAGCATTTTTGATCTTTAATTTCTATTTCAATCATTGGTTGTTAAGACTCATTAAACTGTATGTAAGCAATTTTGCCAAAAGAATTAGAGAGGAAGTTCTTTTTTATTTAATTCTGAAGATAAAACTTTTGCTAAAAAAGCTGTCAGAATTTGGCTTCAGAACACATCCAAAAGCACAATCCAAAGAATAATGTTATGATTAAAATAATGCTATAATGCGGACTACATTATCCAAAAGTAAATTTGTTAGTATTTGGGGAATTATTATGTTTCCTCATAAACAATAGAAGAGAGAAGAAAAGGGGAAGGAAAAATAAAGAAGGGAAATGTCTAGAAAAGAAAAGGGGGAAAATATGAGAAAAATCTATAATATTTTCTGGTTCATCACCAAGCTGTTATCCACTTGGATTACATAAATTACCTGATAAAAGTATGAATGGAGCACAAAAAATAAAGGGTGTATCTTCTGTTCTTCTTATATTAAAATTTAAACACCTTTACATATTTTCATTTTTATTCGCTAATTAATCTATCTTTCCTATTAGTAGTAAAAGTTCAAGTATTTTGGGATAGTGGTAAAGTTGCTAGTTTTTTGTGGTTTTTTTCCCCATTGAATTTTTTGGTACATAAAACATCATGGTACTGGCATAGAAACAGACCCAAAGATCAGTGGAATGACTAAAAGATGCAGAAACAACTCTAGACATACAAAGCTACTTCGTCTTTGACAAAGGAGACAGCCATCCTCACTGGAGGACAGATGGTTTCCATAATAAATGATGTTGGAAAAACTGGCTTTCAACTTGCTGAAGATTAAAACTAGACCCTTATCATTCACCATTCACTAAACTAAAATCCTAGGATATTAAAGATTTAAATATTAAAACAAAAACACTAAACTTGCTGGAAGATACGTTAGGTAGAACTCTTGAAGACATTGGCATAGGAAAAGACTTTCTGAACAAATCCTCAGTTTCCTGGGAACTAGCACAAAGAATCAACACCTGAGTTCTAATCTTTTAAAAACTTCTGCACTACAAGAGAAACCACCAAGAGAGCAAAGAGACAACCTACAATACGGGAAAAAGAATTTACCACCTGTTCCTCAGATAAAATTCTACTATTCAGAATATATAAAGAAATCAAAAAAATCAGACCCCCCCAAATATAAAGGCCCAATCCAAAAATGGGCATCTGTAATGAACAGATATTTCTCATTTACTAGTTATAATAAATAAAGATATTTCTTTCCTGGTCATTTTTATCTTCTCTTTCCTCAGTGACAGTAAATACAGCAAAGGCTAAGATGAAATCAAGTCTCAGAGGAAAGAGCTATTCATTAACTTAAGAAAGCAACTGACCAGAAGAGACCTAGAATAGCAAAAGCCACCCTAGGCAACAGAGACATGGCAGCAGGTATAACAATTCCCAATTTGAAACTATACTACAAAGCCACTGTGATAAAAACAGCATGGTACTGGCAAAGAAACAGACCTGAGGATCAGTGGAACAGACTGGAAGATAAAAATACAACTCCAGATGTTGTGGGAGCTGACTGAGCTAAAGTGACTCCATGCTGGCCTGTTAATAGGCCAGAGACTGTTCTTCCCCCTCTCCTTATCAAACATCAGTAAAGAGCTGCTAAAACTACAAACAAACCTTCATATGCTAATTGCTAACTTGGTTAACAGCCCACCCAGGGACAAATGTATGACAAAAGGTGACCATAAAATATTTCCTGCATAAGATAAGCAGTGTACTTGGAATCTTATCCTCTGGTAGATCTGTGAATGTCCTGACTTTTTGTTTAGAAAAACCCTATAAAACGGACCTCAGCCCCTGAGCTAGTGCCTCTCTGAGCTACTTGGCTCCAGGAGTGCCATCTGGCCAGAATAATAAAGGTTGTTGGTGTGTTCCTCTCCTGGTGATTCTTGTTCCTCAGTTGAGCTTCAGGAGTACCTGCTGGGCTGTGGGCCCAGCATCTTGGAGGCCTTCAGGCTATTCAAGCTCCATGGAGTGAAAGTAAGGCATTAGGTCTTATAATGTACTCAGCTACCTCATCTTTGACAAAGGAGCCAGCCATGCTCACTAAGAAACAGATCTGAGGATCAGTGGAACAGATTGAAAAACACAAAAACAAATCCAGATGTACTAAGCTATGTTATCTTTGACAAAGGAGCTGACCATCCTCAGTGGAGGAAAGATAGCCTCTTTAATAAATGGTGTTGGAAAAACTGGATCTCAAACTGCCAAAGATTAAAACTAGACCCTTATCTTTCATCATGCACTAAACTAAAATCCAAGTGTATTAAACATCTAAATATTTTTTTAAAAAGTCACTAAATTTTCTGGAAGACAAGTTAAGCAGAACTC